TAAAAGTATATTCTATAGAAACAGTTCTCCATTGACTGATCTAGGAACTGTGTAAATATATGAAATCATAATTTAATATTATTCTATTGTACCTCTTTGATATGAGAATGTATTATTATTAGATATTCCTTCTCCTAATTCATTAACTCCAGTTATAACATATGTATAACCGATGAATAAATAAATTATTATCCACAAACTGATAACTAGTATCATATATTGACACAGTGTCCACTAGACTACCAGTAATAGCATCATATATTCTTAGTATGTAATACTGTATAAATACTCTATCATCAACTGTAGGAGCAGTCCATGTTATATTAATAGTAGAACAGTTGTCGATTGAAGAGTCAATGCTAGTAACTCGTCCAAGAAAACCTAAAGTATAAAAATAAACATTTGGTGTAAAACCATGTTTACCAAATCCAAAAGAAGGTGTAGGTAGAAATTCTCCTCCATTATTACTCAATGATATATTAACAATAAATGCATTTAAATTATTAGGTACAGTTGTTACTCCAGTTATCATCAGTTGATCATTAACTTGTGCTATTATACTGTTATCTTGTATCTCATTATTATGAGTATTCAGTATAGTAACTGTTATACCATTAGGATACTCTCCTTTGCATAGTTCACTGACCTAAATTGATTGAGATTGTGTTTATTCTTAATGCATCTGACTTACATTAATACTGATATTTAATGATATTTGTTGTCCATCAATTACTGGTAATATTGATACAGGAGGGGTAATGAGAGGAACTGAAAGATACACTGTGAACGTGTACATGAAGCCATAGTAGGACTAACCTCTTTCATAATAAAAACTGATATTATTAGATGAACCTATTCCAACATCATTAATAGGAGAAACTGATACATTATTTAATATACAAGGATCAGGATTAGTAGGTGATAATGTGATATTATTAGTAGTAGTCGTAATGTTCAGTAATTCATTGAAGTCTACTATATAGTATCCAGTGATAGGTACATTATCCAGTGTATAAGGAGCTGTCCATGTTAATAATACACTGGATCCATTAATAAAGGTATAATTCAGATCAACAACACTAGCCAATAGGCCTAAAGAAGAAATTATAAGAATAATGTCACACACTAACCTTGTATCATTAATATTGCTGCATTACTGAGTACTGACTGTAGAGGTTCATCAGTAACAACTCGACATCTCACTTTAGTATTGTTATTATGTTCATAAGCTATTGCTTGTAGCTCTGCTCTTCTAGTACCATCATGAACACTTGATGTTGCACTAAATCCTTTAGCTATAACATCTGTATTTGTAGCTGGTTCATTGTTAACTTTAAAAGAAAGTTCATTACCAGTTCCTTCACAAGAGAAGACAACAGTAGAGTTGAGTGTTGTATTAATAGACACTGGCTGTACTGTTATATCTATAATGACAATAAAATGTGAGAATATAACGCTAAATATATAATGTTTAGTTACTTACTAGCACAATCAATGTACTGCAGCAAAAGAAGGAAAATTATTAGATCCAACATTTTAAACTGTGATGGGCGCGGCTATGGATCATTCCTTTATTATCACGTATCTAGAGTCTAGACTAGTTAGCTACTCTGGATTCTCAGTGCGCAATTTTATCATGGTCATTCTATCCTTTATCCTTTTACTTCAGTTAAGTCCCAAGATAAGTCATTGTGCTAGTAAGTATCACTAATACTATTCAAGCAGTTATTGTCATCAACAATATAGATATAACAGTACAGCCAGTGTCTATTAATACAACACTCAACTCTACTGTTGTCTTCTCTTGTGAAGGAAGTGGTGATCTTCTTTCTTTCAGAGTTAACAATGAACCAGCTACTAATACAGATGTTATAGCTAAAGGATTTAGTGCAACATCAAGTTCTCATAATGGTACTAGAAGAGCAGAGCTACAAGCAATAGCTTATGAACATAATAATAATACTGAAGTGAAATGCAGAGCTCTTACTGATGAACCCCTACAGTCAGTACTCAGTAAAACAGCAATATTAATGATACAAGGTTAGTGTGTTTGTGTGTCTACATGTCTGCCTACATAATATATTCATCATCACCAATACAAACTTCAGTTTTATGGCACCCATAAATCTAATTGCTTCAAAAAGCAAAATAGCCTTTGCTATTCTTGTCTCTGTCAGTATTCATTCTTATTTATGTGCCTTCCCTGTAACACAAACAGTGAGTGAGTGAGTGACCACAATTAAGAGAGTAACAGCATAGATAATGAAGCACCATGGTGCGTGGACTCGCCTGCTGAGATTCACCTGAAGGATAATGTGTTACTTGTATTGCCCCCATCATGATATTATATATATAAGCAACTTGATATTTGAAAAAAGGATAATAGATTTTGACAAAGTGCACCAATGCAATTAGCCAATTACTGCACTGATCCATAAAATAAATTATAGGTGTGGTCAGCACCTAGCACTGCACTGCAGTGCAGATAAACATGGCACGTGGGTAGGAGAAAGAAGAAAAGCTGAAATTTATTTTAGCATCTGAAGCTCTATTCAAAGAAAGAGTAAGCACAAAAAATTTGCCTAGATATTTAAAAGAGACTGAGATAGTTTGGTTGCTCTTGCTTTCCCCAATGCTGCCTGAAAATTTTTCGAAGAGGCTAAATCACAAACTTTGAGCAACTGTAACTCGCAAACAAAAAAGAGATTAGAAAATCCCCACATATTTTTTAATCTAGGTACTTTTCTCTACCTATCAATGCTAATCTTGACCAAATAGAGTGAAACACGAAGATTTGGCTAGGAAAGGTGGTCTATTCTTGAAAATATTCCGCTTTTGCTACCACGGATTGCTATGAAAATACAACGGAGCTAAATAAATTATCTTTTTCTCAAAGCTTAAAAAGAATTATAACTCAGGAGAGCTCAGTAAAAAAGATATTGACTAGGAATTAACAGGAATTTTCGTGACAGAATGACAGACAGAATGACAACCCAACTGCTTAGTACCCGCCTACGCAAGCGTGGCGAGTCCAATGATAGCAAGCCACAACTTACTATAAAAACTATAATGATAAAAAATATTATTTAAAAAATTATAAAAAGTATTCTTCTTTCATTGCTTTTTGAAAATATGACCAAAAGGTCACAATTACACTGAATGAAACACAATAGAATAAAAATCAAATAATAGTAAGGCTAGGACATAGTGTTAGTGTGGAGCGTAGCTCCAAAACAGACTGGCAAGCCAGCATAATTACAAAAAACCAAGAAGAAGGAAGACTAGAATAGAGTTAATAAAGAAAGGGAGGTTAATAAAATAAAATTCAGTTAGAGTTAAAAAAAGTAAAGTAATAGAATAAAAGTAATGGTCATATTGGTGGTGACTGCTCACTATTATGTATACTACTGATGATTAAAGGATTCCAGCCCATTTCCCTAGGCGTATGATGCTATGGGTCCTTTCTTCTTTAGGTCTATTGGCTAGTGTTGTTGATCTGGATTATACCTTTATTAATGGATCCAGTGTATTACTAACATGGACAACTCCTTATACACTGGATAATGTACCTATCACTGGATACTATATAGTAGTCAATGGATTGGAGAATATTACTACTACTAAAAAGAGTATTACATTATCAACTACAAATTCTGATCCTTGTCTTATAAATAATGTATCAGTTTCTCCTATTAATGATGTTGGAATAGGTTCATCTAATAATATCAGTTTTTATTATGAAAGAGGTTAGTCCTACTATGGCTTCATGTATATGTTCACAGTGTATCTTTCAGTTCCACTCATTACTCCTCCTGTATCAGTGGTACCAGTAATTGGTAGACAATTGAATATCAGTATTAATGTGAGTACATGTATTACTAAGTTTATACTCATGTAGGCAAGAAATTGTAAATATGGGAAGCAAATTTTTTTATAATAGTAATGTCTTTAAATTGTCATCTACTTTATGTTATTCGTGGCATTTATCATACCACATCAACCAATCTGATTGTGGTCAATTACAACTAGGCATAGTAGAATTACAATTTTGTCAGTATTGTTGCATTATAAACTATTGTAATTGTATACACATGCACCATTAGGTGAGTAAGCTGTGTATTGGTGAATATCCCAACAATGTAACAGTTATTATACTGAGTACTGATAATGAGTTGCAAGATAATACTAGTATATCAACACAATTTAATGATCAACTGATGATTACTGGAATAATACCTGTACCTAATAATTTAAATACATTTATTGTTAATGTATCACTGAGTAATAATGGAGGAGAATTCCTATCTACACCTTCTTTTGGATTTGGTAAACATGTTTCACACCGATGGCAAATGCTCATTTTTATACTTTTAGGTATTCTTGGACCAGTAACTAACATTGACTCTTCAATTGTTAACTGTTCTACTATTGATATAACATGGACTGCTCCTACAGTTGATGATAGAGCACTGTATTACATACTAAGAATATATGATGATAATACTGCAGTGGATACTGTATCAGTATATGATACCAGTTATCAGTTTGTGGATAATAATTTATTTATTCATCATTATACATATGTTATAACTGGAGTTAATGAATTAGGAGAAGGAATATCTAATAATAAAACATTCTCATATCAAAGAGGTACATCTTATGCACGTGTAACTATGTTAAAGTATGATCAATGTTTGAAAAAGACTTATTATTTTTTATAGTTCCCAGATCAGCAGTAGAACACACTACACTAGATACATTTAATTATACAAAAGACACAGCTACTGTTCAATATAATATTGTGGTAAAAAGTACCTTGTCTTTAAAAAATTGCATAATTTATAGGTTATAATTGAGTGTACTGGTGAAGCTCCTGAGAATGTTACAGTTACTGTAGAATGTAATGGAACTGGTGTTGTGTTTAGTAATACTGAGCTAATAGAACAGGAAAGACAACCAAATAATATAACAGGATTACTATTAGTCCCTCAGTATCAACAGTGCAATATAAGTATTGTATTTAGTAATGAGGCTGGCAGTAGTGAACCATTCATACGAACATTTAGTTAGTCGTTGAATTTTTAAAATTATTATTTATATATTAATAGATACTACTCCTCCACTTCCTCCTAACAATAGTTCATCACTTTCCACAGTTTCTGTAGCACCAACCATTGGACCAGGATCAGACCCTCAATCAAGTTAGTTGAGACATGCTCAAAACTGCTTGCTTTTGATGGATATGAGATTATTATTCTCCTATAGTGACTACAGGAGCTGTTATTGGTATTGCTGTTGGCTGCTTTAGTGCTGTAGTAGTTTTGATAGGAGTCCTGGTAGCTGTATTGATATTCATATGTTATAAAAATAGATGTTAGTATCTTATTTTTATCAATCATATATGATGTATGTGTCTTATTATTAGATAAGTACTGGGGCTATACTCGAACAGAGAATGACAACAATGAATTAAAGCAAAAGGGAACGGTAAAGGGCAAAAAAAGTAAAACATGGTGAATATATTTTTGTAGCAAATGAGAAAGCAAGGCTGTAAACAGAAGATAGTGCAGTAGAGCAAGGCATACAGTATTTTATTTTATATTTCATTTTTTAATTATGACTGCATGCAATATTAAAACTTGAGGTGAATGTTGATATCTCTATAAATTAATCAAAATACGTTTTCATTAAGTTTCCAATTTATTTTGTAAGTAAAAATTGAACTTATGGTTTTAGTTTTATTTGATAGTTTTGAATTAGATCTTGTACATGGTCTTACAAACGGTAATGAAAAATAAGAGTGACTTGTCTTCTTTGATAATTTCCTCACTAATGAAGACATATGCTGACTCATCAGTGCCAAATGAGCCAATGACATTATGATAACAACCACCAGGTGAATTATGTGACTATAGTAGATCCAATAAGGACTTTTTGCCTTTAGCACAAAGCTATAGTTTCAATAGATTAGAGCACAGTATTAATTTAAAAGTGAAAGTCTGTCTCACATTTCTTACAAAAGATTTTGGTTCAGTATTAAGCTTTGTAGATTTGTTTGTTGCTTCAAATTTTGACAAAAACTCCTGCATTTTTATTAGATAGTACAGCTAGGGTATTTCACTAGGAGAGAATTCTCAATTTCCTGCACACTGCACAGGTTCTACTGTACTACTGCACAGGTTTACACTTTATCGACACAATACTGGTGTAATGAAATACATCAATGAAACATCATTTCAATTTTTAGTATGGTGTTTTTTACAAGAAATAAACTCCAATGATAAAAATAATATTGATTATAATCAGCTTTTGTTTAGTTATAAATTATTGTACACACTTCTTCATTATACATATGCTATAACTGGAGTTAATGAATTAAGAGAAGAAAGATCTAAAAATAAAACATTCACATATCAAAGATGTACAACAGACAATGATTACTGAATAATAAGTTCATTAGTACCACAATTTGTTACAGAAGCTGGCTCAAATATAATAACATTTGATCAAAATACTTCTACTGCTTTCTTTAATATAGCAGTATGTCATTTTATTTATTTTTAGTTTTGTTAATGTGTATTGTACTAGGTTGCATTGGAGTGTACTGGTGAAGCCCCTCAGAATCCTACTGTTACTATACAATGTAATGGAGCTGGTGTTATTTTTAACAAAATGTATCTAGTGGTATAATACTACACAATCAATGAATATAACAGGATCAGTATTAGTACCACTATATGAACAGTGTAATATCAGTATTGTATTTAGTAATGAGGCTGGTAGTAGTGAACCATTTATACAATTATTTAGTGAGTTATGTAAAAAAAAAATTTCAGTCAGTGTACATAATAATCATCTATAGTGTGATTTAACACCCCATACAAAATACCACCTTTCTGCATTTCTTTTTTTACTTTTGTTACTGGAACCGTTATGAACCTAAAATCAAGCAATTTAATCGGTCAGTTGTAATTATTATGCATAGTAAAATAATATACAATGATAGAAACAACTACATTTAAAACATTTAGCTGCCACAATTGCTATATTAACTATAGCTATAAAAATGTATAAAATTCTACCAATGCTAAAGCAATAGAAAATTTTTTTGTGACATTGAGGCATTTACTTTGAGGCCATGATTTCATTTTTAATTATGTGGCATTTAATTCCACATAATTAAAATACCTATATATTTATTGTGGAATTTGCAAAAGTGATTCAATCCCATATAATGCAATCTGATTGGTTAATTAAAAACTGTTGCAAGATAGAGTTTTAGTTAATTTGTACCAGTATCATTATCTTATTAAATTTTTAGATACTATTGCTAGCATTTTGCCACTGAAACCCCCTCATCAACAAGTATAAACTCATACTGTCTTTAATACTTATACACATATTTATAATGGGGGGACTATTAATGATACCAATAATGGTTAGTACAATTAGTGTATGTATTGTACTAGTGCTAGTAATCATTTTGACGGTATGTGCTGTGATCATTGTTACTAAAAAAAGACAAAACAAGTAAATGGTAAATATTATTTATAATTTTGTTGCAAACAAACTTATGATAAATATTATAGGATTTGCTATTATTCAAAAACCACAAACTGAGACCAATAAATATCAAGATTTTTTTGAATTAATAAATAAAGTTCCTATTACCACATCACCTGTAGTGTCAACTAGTAATAGACCAATAGATGATGAGAGTCCCTATCATGTTGATATTAGTGAGGTAATCTATTATCTCTTATTGTGATATCAAAATTGTTTCCATTGCTGACATCACATCTAGTTTCTTTCTGGTGAGACGATTCCTTCACACATTGTTGAAGTAAGGGTTATTCATGTGACTGTTATACTGTAACATA